AAGTATCGTGTGGAGGATGGTGCTGAAGATGAGGATGAAGTTAATTTTGAGGTGGACCGTGCTTTAGATGAAATTCATCCAGAGGTGGACTGTGCTGAAGATGATGTTCGTCCTGAATCTGAAAAGCCTGACGATTATGACCAACACAAGGTAGAAAATCAAGCTGATGAAGTAATTAATAACACTGAAAACATTGCTCAGGAAGATCCAAAATGGTGGGACAGTGAGTCACAGAATCTTCTGGATTCGCAACAGCTTGTGGAAGGGTTGTCTCTGTGTGATGATCTTCTTCAGAGCCAATCTCCAACTAGGGGTGGACATGAAAATGGTGAACAAGCGCACATCAAACCCCCCCGTCTTGCTGATTATGCTAAACTAGGACCAGAGGATTTAAAGAAGGATCTAGAGGCTTGTCAAAATCTTGTCCTCGATCCTGCTAATATTTTGGAACTCGATACACCTCCAGATTTCCGACTTAGCCAGCTGGTAAATCTTCTTGTCTTGCTTCTTGTTGGTTTAGTCAATTCTTTTTGTTTTGTTTGCATTTTCCTTTATGCTAACGCTTTTCTGAATCGTGCATTGTAGGAATTCGGGTCACAGGAAAGTTTCCTTTCTTGGGGTGGCAAGGTGGCTGACTGAACATGGTTCGGGATTTGTAAGTGTTGGTCATGGTTTCACGGTGGTAAATATTTTGTGGCTACATTTTGATTAATCTTCACGTATCAAATCAGCTCGGCGTGATATCCAACTTTTTGCTGAAAACAGAATGAACTGTGAGACCTGGTTGTAAAGTAGTGTTTGTGAACTGAAATTCTCTGATCATTTGTGTTCAAACCTCGACCGAACTTACTCTTTTTGCTCTCTGTTTATAATCAAGCTAAAATGCAGTTATTTATCTGGTTTGCGTTTGTATTTGGATTTTAAAGCTTAGCATCCGTATTATAACGAATTCAACTAGCCGAGAGACGTGTGGACCATCAAATTATTGGAAACTCGATGCTTTGTCAACGCCGAGGAAAACACTGATGAGTTTTTCACATGTAATCAAATGACAACAGGTTGGACCATGAAACCATTCATCAACTTTCAGGGCTGCGTAGGTCATGCAAGTTGTCTTTGATAATTGCTTGAGAGACCACTGGGCCTAGCCTCGCTGTGAAATTAAGCACTATGAGGTAAAAGTGCTTGTTGATGAGCAGCATATGATATTGCTTGTGGGGAAGCCAGATTCAGACCTAACCTAGAAAAGCAGCTTCTGCTGGTGCCCTTGTAGCATGTTGTAGGGCAAGTGACCTAGTTGGATAGTAGGGCACCCCTCTGTTGTATTAGCAAGACATGCCTAATGCTTCTCTCCCTTGGCAAATGCAATTGGTCTTCTTTTTATCTTTAGATGCCCTGATGGGGCTATATAAGGTAGACAAGGAGGACCACAGCACCATGGCTTTTTTGGGCTCGAGAAAAAGAACTGAACAATGAGCCTACGGATTATTCAACTCTGTGCAGGACGTCTTGTCTTTCTTAAAGACATGATACATCGCGAAACAGAGGCGGATACATACTTGGACCTAAGTGGTCTAGGGCCTCCCGGAGTTCATAAAATATACATGTGAAGGTCTTCCGATGACCCTCCAAATGTTTTGTACGGGCCCCCTTGTACCTACTAAGTATTTGATGAAATACTTGCTAAGTATATCTCGATAAGTTATATGAACAACACTCGAAGAATTCTCACGATATTACTCATCAAGTGTTCGATTAAATGTCTCAGTAAATAAACTGAATATTTTTTTTTCCGCGGTATGCGCTCTATTTCTATCTCAAAAACTTGGACCATTAATAGTGAGACCACCCAAGATTAGAAATTGGTGGATTAAAACATTAAGAACGATGCAAATGATTGTGATCAATTGACCTTAACGGCTAAGAACATATACATATATGCCATATGCTCTGCAGTTAGGGTTTTTAGAGAGAAGATTTAGCAACCTTGTTTTGTCGGCAGCCAGCACAATGTTGTATCCTAAATCCTACATTAATAACACATAAGCAACCACCTTGTAACATGAGGAGACACCATGGGCCATGACCCATCTTTTTTACAAGAATCCCTAAGAATTAGAGACAACCCCAACACAACAGGACTGGATTAAATATCATAATTAACATCCAAGCAAAGTACTTGTGCTCGTAGTTGGTCTGTTTTGTAAAGTGCTTATATGACCAGTTAGCACTTTTAAGTTTATTTATCGATGCTATAAGCGTTTTTTATGACTACAAAGTGTTTTTAGTTATTTCAAACCGATGGAGCAGTTTGAAAGGAGCCAACAACCAATAATCGTAAAGCAAAAACCAGCTAATTGGCAAGTGCGTTTGGAGAATGTCCCATCATCATCTTACTTGGATGATGAAACTACACCTTATTCATTATACTTGAAATGTTGATGCCCATGATCAGCGGCAGATCGAGAATTCGAATTTTGGTGAGTTCTAGTGTTAAAGGACAAGGTTTTGAAATAAAAACAAAACTCGAGACGTGCAAAAGAGACTCTTACCAAAGATTCAAAAAGTTCTCGAAAATTTTTCACAAGTATATTTTTCAAACTTTAAATGTTTTTGGGACAACCTTTAGTTCTAACGGACATTCGGCCAGGTCCAAGATGTAACATTTGCACTTAGTATGCATAACATTATTGGATGAAATTGAGGAAGACGGGATGTGCCATGTGGGGACAACGCGTGGGCCCCATGTTTCATTAGAATAGAATCGTACGTTATATTGGTGGGGTTGAAGATTAGGGAGGCGCACGTGGGCACGATAAGGCTGCCGTTTTCAACCAACCAATTCGCGTCCGACTTTCTGTCGAGCGCGGCTTTGAGTTTTCTTACTCAATCACTACTACTGATTGAGTCATTTCATTCGAGTGAGCCTAACAGAGAAGAAAGCTCGAGAGCTCTCGGTCAACAAAATATTTTCTGAACACTAGAATCCCCCTTATGCAGTGGGAGACGAGTTAACTCGACAATGTTATATGAACAAGTTTAAACGCTTGATAATACATAATTGAATTAGAATACCGTCACGGTCAAATTTTATATCGAGGTAAATTTCAAAGAGTAAGACAGAGAGGGGGCACTCTCCTGTGTGGCCGACAACAGAATATTAGATTGCATTATTCGGCTCCTGTACATCTGACTTTCTGACCCACCCTTCTCTCCTCTAAAACAAGAAACCAAAAATGAAAAAAAAATCATTCAGAAGTCCACGTGTCGGGTTGTTATTCACCGACTCTAGTGTTAGTGACAGGTGTCCGGATTTTACGTTGGGGTGCAGTGTATTATGGTACACTAGAGAGTATATGTGCTGATTTATGATTCCAAAAGTAGGACTGCCTGGACTTACTTTTAACCCTTCCCCTGCTCCTTGCTTCATAAGGAAAGAAGAGACAAAAGGGAATACTATTTGGGGTAGGCCCATCATAACCGTACACGTGGCACACGTGAACATGAGCTGGGATCCAATATTTTGGAAAGGGATCCTCCCTTCCTTCTAATCCATCAAATTCGGGGATCCAGATTATTGAAATTTAATCAAACGGTTACAAACAGGGACCCATTTTAAAAAGTATAATAACTTTAACCGTTTGATTAAATTTCAATGATCCGAATATCCAGACCCGAATCCCCAAACTTAATGAATTAAGAAGAAGAGATTCGAAGATGATCCCTTCCCAGTAATTCAACTAGCCCACAAAGAGAGGGGAGAGACTCGAGAGAGCTTTAGTTTTGAGTTTGGGTTTTTGACCCAAACGTCGAAAAAGCAGTTTCCTCACAAGGCCATGTTTGGATGCTGGCTAAAAATAATAGCTTATTTGAAGACAAGGTGGGAATTGCATTTTTTAGGAGATGCTGGTGCTTTTTATTTTATTTTTTTTTTGAGGGAAGGAGATGCTGGTGCTTGTTTGGTTGAAGACAAGCAGATCATAACAAGAGCTTATAATATTATAGTGATTAGTGATGGGCCAATTGCATTGTTTCTTTAGTTAATCATTGGCCTTGCAAAACAACCATATAAAATGGGAATTATGACAAGGGATTAAGGCTTAATCGATTATTTTTAAGGGTATGCTATCCACACACCTCCTTTTACTTCTCACACACTCCTTGTTAATTTCTGTCATTTGATCTTCTTCAATTTCTCTAATCCGACGGCCGAAAATAAAAATGGTGTGTAATAAGTAAAAATGGGTGTGTGGATATCACACCCCTATTTTTAAGGTACATTTTTTGTCATCAAGTGGTCTTAGCTAACTTGGTCAATCTTTATCATTAAGGCTTTGTTGTTGTTGTAAGTGTTCTTAGCTGACTTGGTCAAAGCATTAATCATGAATTTTGATGCTTTATATCGAATGTCTCAAACACTTTTTGGACATGCAATCCAAAAAGGCAGAAATAATCTACTACACTGAAATAAACATTAAAATTAACGAATTGAATCCTCAATTAATAATTGGCCAAAGATTAATGGCCTTGTATGAATGATTATTACATCCAATGTGGATGCTAAATTATGATCCATTTCATACATCTTTCCTTCCCTTGAATTTCAGTTTTAACAACACTCTGAGAACTCACAAGACATTTCTGCTTCTTAACAGCTCCAGTTTCATTAGGTCATAATTGGCCTTTTAATCAACAGAATAGGAAACATAACAAAGCCATTTGAAAAGGAAGAAAATTTTGAGAACTCCACATCACTTATTTGGAGCTGAAATTGGATAAAGAAAATAAGAAAATCAAGGTTGTAGTTGCTCCAAAGAGATCTTTTTTATCGTGTCCAACTAGTGATATGACATATGTAATTGGAGCATAACCTTTTATGGAATCCTTTAGTAATTGAAACCCCTTTTCCTTTTTCAATGTTTAATTATACTTGGAACTCCCTCCCAAATTGTAAAACATAGTGGTTTTGTTAAGTGAGAAGAAGATCAATGCATAAGAACTTCTGAGGAAGAACAATGCAATATCAAAGTTTATATATTTAGGCTATTCCGATGTACATATATATCTAAGCCCCACAAGGCTAAACCCCATACAAAATTTTCTTCAAATCTCCTAAAAACATCCGCTGGCTATTTACAACTCCACCAACAAGATCAAAGATCTTGATACGACAAGAAAAAGGAGGAAAATTAGGAAGAAAAACCAAAATCCTCCTCTCTCGTCATGTCATATTTTCAATCATGCCAGCAGAGGAGCATGACCACACACCTCCTGATGATGTAAAGCCTGGCTCTTTGCTCTCGCAGGACCCCTCCGAGTCCTTTGCTTGACGACGAAGACAACCTTCTCTTGCTGCCTGCCATGCTGCCAGAGCTGCCCATCTTCATATTTCAGAGAATTAGGGTTTTCTTTCTTTCTGTCTGTTGACTGCAGTGAGTGAGCGAGTGAGTTGCTTCTGCAGGTAATGAGCTTTGAGAGATTGTGTGAGTTGGGTTTGAAAGTGCAGAGGCCAAAGGGGGTTCTTATAGAGTGAGAAGGACCGGATGAGGAGAAATGTGGGTGTGGTCCTTGATCACATTGGTCTTAAAAAAGAGCCGGAGGATGGGGCAGTGCTCCCCAAACCAACCCGACAAACACCCTTCAAGTGGGCCCCACCACCCTCCCTCCCTCACTTTGGAATCCCTTGCCTTATCCTACTACCCTACCTCAGCAAACACATTACACAAAATGATAAAAACAATCCAAGCAAGCACTCTTATCTCTCACTCACATCACATGTAATATTATTGCTGTGCTACATTGGTCTGAATTGGACTATACATCATTTATATGCGCGAGGTAGGCATTGCCCACCAGCATAATGGGTCGGCAACTACTCACCATAAGGTTGCAAGTTTTTTGGTTTTTTGTGAGTTGCCCTTCAATTTTGTAAATGATGAGGTGCGGGACACACCAACTTAAGAAAAATATCTGACTCTTTTACACACATGAAGTCATTCTTTATTTTACACGAACTGACACATACATGTGTACAGAAAAGTTTCATTAATTATGTGCTTTTAACGAGTTACTTCTCTATATATGTGAGCTTGAATGAAACAAGTAAGGAGTCAAACAATGTCCTCAACTAATTCTCCCCTATGTTTTTAGTGGATTTCTTTGTTGTTTTCTTTTTATCTTTGTGTTGGATCCACCTAAACATGCAGTAGGAGGGGATAAGTTGAATCCTACATAAGAATCCACGTATATTAATCAACTAACCTTTTGTTAGCATGCATGATTAGTGACTTCATCATATTTTTAGGCTTATAGTTTATAACAGAAGCATATATGTAGGGACAAGACAACGGCTTTGATAGCAATGTTAAACTTTCCCTGGACCATGCTCCGGTGATTATTGCATACTTCATGTAAGAAAATTATTTATTTTCACACATAAGACATCGAAAAAATTATACTTAGAAAAACACTTCAAACTCAATAATTTAGAAACACAGAAAGACTAATTTAGTTTGTATTGAGAGAGAGAAACAAAAAAACTGCGGGCTTACAAGTAGATAGATGATGAGTTTTGTTTTCCATTTGAACTTTGAATGTGTTTTTGAATAAATCGTGAGGTGTTTTTTTCTTATTTACTAAACTTGTCAATACTGGACTAAAAAATAATGATGTTTTCGAATCTTAATTAATATGTATTATTAATGAATGGGTACTAAATTAAACATTTTGATGACACATCATATAATTTGCAAATTTGGTCTACGTATTATTCTTTGTTGAAGATTAGACTTGAATTAAAACGAATATTTAAAAATAACAACCCACATAGCTACTAGATAGTAACTAAAAATAAATTACCAACCAAACAAAAATTTGTAAAAATTGAAAAGAATAAACATGCACATAGCATTTCGAACTTAGGACCACTTGTTAATTTTAAACAACAAAAATCATTGTTTCTAATTAAACTTTTTGATCCTTTAACCAAATTTTCTAAATTTATACTCTTATAAAAAAAATTTGTAAAAAAAGGAAAGTAAATAAGCACACATGGTGTTTTGAACCCAAGACCTCTTTATTATTTTCAAATGACAAACCACCACTTTTAGTTAAATTTATGTGTCTTTGAATCAAATTTTATAAATTTATACTCTTATAAAAACATATGTAAATATATCACCCTAATAATTTTGGTGCCCCTAATTTTTTTGGGCCCTGGACGGTTGCCCCTCCTGCACTGGGCCTGGGCCGGCCCTTCCTCCCAAACCACCCCCCACCCCCACAAAAAAAAAAAAAAACAGAAGTGGGGTTTAATTTTCTCAAAACACGGTACATTTTTTCCTGCTTGGATTTTTCTTTAGAAATATTAATTCAAGGGTAGAAGTTGAATTTGCTGAGTCATGATATTTATATATGCAAAGTAGGGCAACATGGACGATGAGAGAGTAAGATTTACATGAGAAATTCTTGGGTAGGGCTCCGTGCCACGCCCACTCGCCTGTCCAGAAGTCGCACACAAAGTGAGTCTGCATTCGATGCCACCAAGATGAGCTCGTGCAAAACTCGATTTCAAGGCCTCTTTATCAGGCGGATGACTTGACACGATCTACCACTATACTGAAGAACTTCTCGATTTGCAGAGCCTTGCACTTTAAGCAGATGAAATTGTTTTTTGGGTGGACAATGTGACAGACATAGTTGTCTCTCTGTACTAAATGAGACAGTAGGAATATATGAAAAGGGCAACCAAATATTATGGTGATTACGAAAGCCTGCTTGGACGGCATTTGGGATTCTGCTGTGCGATTAACGGAGTGAAATATCAAAAGCCATGACCAAAGATTCCGCTATTCTAAACTAATAGATATTATGCTGCTGATTAACTAGCTTTTAATTATAAATATATTATTTTGCACCAGAAGCAAAGCAAAGCAACCCACTTGCTTCGTCTCGTGCTCCTCCCATTTCTCTGAGGAGACCAACTTCCAATAACCCTCAATTCTAATAAGCAAATTGTACATCCATTATTCTATTCTGTATTGAGCAATTTCAAGCTGTCGATATCGAATCAGGCAATGGCAATCTCCAGTTGTTTCTTAGTTTCTTCCATCCTTATTCCATGCTTACGTACATAGAGTCATGCGCATGTTAGATATGTACTATCTCATATACAGTACGTTCAACAAAGAGGTCAACGTATAAGTCTCATTTTTTTGTTAAAAACTACAGTACACTCTAGATGATTAATAAAGATACTAAAGACGATACAAAATAGTTTTGTTCTACCTTCTTTTTTTCAACTTTTTTCCTAGCTAGTTTTCAATGTCACAGTTCATATACTCAGTCACTCAGACATGCGATGTGCGCATGCAGACAGACATTTTCAGTTGCAGGGGCATATACGTATGTATGATACTTGGTAGAGACTCTACGTACGTAGAGTATTAAGATACAAAACTTTGGGAACTCAAATAATACCCCCATATTAGAGCTAGAAAATGGTGCTGATTAAATTAATTTCTAAGTGTCGCATTTATAGCTTTGAAGCTGGCGTCTTATGTTATGTTTGTTGTTCCAAATGCACTAATAAACAACAAGGTCAGTGTTGCACGTGAACTTCTCGTGATTTACAATGCCATTGCCTGTGATGGACTCAACATATATACTTTTTTCAATCTTTTATCTGATCTAAGTCTGGAGTCTTATATGTAATTGTTTACACACACACACACACAAACACATAAATATATAATATATCTGTTCTTGATGCTTGTATTTTAAGCAACTTGAAGTCCTTAATTCCAGCATGCAAGTTCTGATGTGCATCCATACCACTTTCCCTGCAAATTCAAAGGGAAAATACTAATGGAGCTAATTAGCTAGCATTAACCTTATGCCTTGTATGCATGGAATTAACATGCATGTGAAAAACATCTGTGTTTTCTGTGGAATGTACGGAATCGAGCGGCAAACTACAGTTCTAGTCTTACATGCAGATATCGGATTTTGGGTTTTGGCAGGGTTTGCTTAGAAGGAAGCTAATTTTCTTGAAGGATTAATTAGCCACGTTCTTGACTTACCCGTCGATTACAGCCTTTAAGTGCAGTACTAACAGTGTTTTTCCTAATTAATCAATTATTATGTTTCGCACTTTGCATGCTCGTTGACTACGTAGCCAGCATGGCAGTTGGCAGCATGGCATATATATATCAGACCCAGCCAGCGTGGCAGCATGGTATGATCATGAGCAGTGCTGGTTTATGATAAATATATGATATAATTACGTACTTTATCAACATTGAACGAAATGGGGTCCAAAGAGGAGGATCTGAATGTTTAGATCTGATTATTCATCACAGCCTGAATGTTTAAATCCAATTATTCATCATATAGTATGGACTACAATCGCTTTTGTTGGATTTGCTTACTTGAATGCTATAGTTTATTTGAGAAAGAAAAACTTACAAACGACCTTGGGAGAATTACAAAATCATATACAAAATTAGACAAATTGTATCTACAGTTTGTCAAAGCGTCGGCGACAAATTTTGCTTCTCGGTAAACATATTGAATTTCTCAAATATTAATTGAAAGCTCTCAAAAGGGAACAAATATTTGTCATGACCGAGTAAAATCTACACGAAGGTTGGTTGATGATGACCTTCAAGCAAATCAATAATCAATTTAGAATACAAAGATTAAATAACCCAAGACAATTAGCCCAAAATCCTCAATTAATCTCATAAATCACTTAGAATTCGTGAACTCTTCAACATTATTCTTCTTATAAAGTTGTACAATCTTAATTACATTAATATATAAGCTTTCTTAGGAATCGCAACTTAGGAGCCCAAGGTGCAAACGGGCCAGCTGGGTTTGGGTCACCAGGTTTTGCTGTCGGTGGAAGGGTGAGATGGGTTTGCTTAAACTCTATTCCGGTTGTCGAGTTCATTCGCTAAACTCACTGCGTTACAGATTCATACACTCTCCACTTGTGGCACACTGCTTTTGTCAACTGGCGTAACCTACACATATTTTTCTCCCTTTTTTGTGTTCTAGTAGAAAGGCTGGGAATGCTTGGTTGCAGTTGAAGTCATGGAGGACTCTGCAAATGCACAAAGAAAGTCCTTGCAAGTGTGCTCATAAATAACACAAACCACTGTTCAAGGTATAAATATGTCTCGATTAGATTCCAGGTAATTCACAAACTCGAATCAATCCTCTATGGCGATCCACCTGCTCCACCAGAGACGCTTCCCATGGCTGTTAATCTCATCCATGCTCTCACTCAACGTCTTTACCATCTTCCTCTGCAGCCAAAGAGCTGAAGCCAGAGCATTCCTTCCTGGTGCACTTGCCTTCTTACTCTTAGGCTCCATTTCCTGCACATTATACACAAATGAACTCCCGAAAGGAATGCAACTTTAATGATCTCCGAACGGGTGGTGATATGCAACTTTAATGATCTCCGAACGGGTGGTGATTTTCACACTCCTCTATTCTCATTCTGCACTCCTCGTGTTTATGCGTGTCGATTCTCCTTC